TCCTGAGCAGCAGCGGTGTGGGTGCCTCAGCACCCAGACAGGCACAGCGTGCTCTCCAGCGGCTCAGCCTGGCCTGTCTTCACACTCAAACAGGGGTCAGGCTCCGCATCGCACAGACAGTCTCATGGACTTACATTTTTGCAGCTCTAGCACTCCATAGCTGTAAGCATCTGGATGTTCAAGAGATTAAGAGTAGGTTTGTCATTGCATGGTCATACTGGAGAGACATGGCCTCAGCCACGTTCAGGGACAGTTTCAGAGATGGCAGATAGACACGATGCACATGGAACCTATCCACACTTGCCTGTGCATCTCCATCCTCCAGTCCCACAGTCTGTCCTGCTTCATAGCTCCAGGAGTAACTGGTCTTCCCTTGAGCTTGACTGTCACAGCCCTCCATCATGTGCAGCCTTTTTAAACCAGGGGCCTTGGTGGCTTAAAGCTTTCTTCCCTAATTCCTCCTGTTAACTGTTAAAATGCAATCCTGAGAGACGCCCTCTGCCAGAGGCCCCTCAGCCCTCTCCATCAGGAGGCAGCTCTCACAGTCAGTGCTGGGCCAGCTTTCCTTCCACCCCTCAGGGAAGATGCCACCATGAACAAAGTGGCTGCCAGAGGTTTGGGGTTTTTTTCACTTTTCCTTCAAGAGAGCAGCTTTCCATCTCTAGTAGGTCTCCCCTCCCTTTTGCCCAAGCCACAGAGATTTGGGGGAGCAGCAGGTGCTCCTACAGGGACGGTGGGAGGTGCTGAGGAACAGACTCTGGTGTGCTTGGGAATAATCAGAGTAGGACTCATTCTTCTCTCTACAGGGACCTTTGGGGTGTATGAGGGAACGGGGTGGGGGGTTTGGGTTGTTTTTTTTCCCCACCAGTGGAGTGTGACCACTGCAAGGAACAGCTCACCTGTGTAAGTACATCCCTGGGGAAACTTTTGCATAGAGCAATGTTCAGGTTAAAGGCATCCCAAGCAATATGGGCCAGCAGACTGAGAAAGCAAACATTGTCTAGGATCCTCAGATCTTCACTGAAGTTAGATCAAATGCATGGTTTTACACCTACTGAGAACCTGTTCATCCCATTCATTTATAAGCAATATTTTAAAATGCTTTGGAAGGGGTGATTAAGCTGCCTTCAGATGCTTTTCCTCCCTCCACTGACTGCAGAAACTGTAGGCTGTACCCATCTGGCCACACAGGGACATTATGGTGTAGGTCTGTCTCCTAGAGTCCTGCTTTTGGCCATTCCCCAACTCTGGAAACCTGCCTGTGGCATCTTGCCTGTCATCCTAAATTCACCCTCTCCATGAAGACATCACTCAGAGGAGGTCCTTCTCTACCTCCCACAAGAAATCCATGGCATGAGAAGGAGAGGCCACATGGCAGGTAGCAGAGAGGACAGGGATAAGCCTCAGTGAGCAAGGGCCAGCTCCAGTGGTGCTGCTCA